CTCTCTCACTCCCCCTGCTTGTGTTCCCTCTCTTGCTGTGTCGCTGTCAAATAAATAACTAAAATTTAAAAAAAAAAAAGAAAGAAAGAAAATTCTATTATGAATATACAAGCAAAACATTTTGAAGACCACTGCTTTATAGACATTAATTTTCACCTAATCTAATGATATGGTTAACATTATCTCCTTTCACAAATCACAAAATAAAGGCATGGATACTTCAGGCAGTTTGTCAAGGACACCATACCATATTAGCTAAAAAGCGTATGAAAAGAGGTAAGATTTAATCGCCACACAAAACTGCTCTTCCTTGATACACAAATAGGCAGGAGGCACTAAATAAAAGTTGGGAAGTGAAAAATCTGAGGGAAAAAAAAAGCACCTAAGAAAATAATCAAATCCCGGGATGCCTGGGTGGCTCAGTCGATTAAGCATCTGCCTTTCTCAGGTCAAAATGCTAGGACTCTGGGATCAAGACCCACGTCGGGCTCCTTACTCAGAAAGGAGTCTGCTTCTCCCTCTGCCTGCCACTCCCCCTGCTTACACTCTACATCTCTCTTTCTGACAAATAAATAAAATCTTTTTAAAAAAAGAAAAAGAAAGAAAATAATCAAATCCAGTCAGTAAATTTTTATAAAGGCATTCTTAGCAATGGTGTTAATTAACATAAACTGTTCCTAAAATTATATTCAGTAATTCCAATTTAAATCACAATTCTTCTCATATTTTCTAAAATACTCATTTTAGTAAGTCATTCTGTTTGATTTCTAGCACTATTAATTTCTTCAATAAAAATATCCTAAACACACATACACACACAAATCCTCTTTAATTTTCTTATATTCTGATCATAATAATCTTGGTACCTAAGGAATTTTTCTTCCAAATAAGTTGGTTATGGCTGAATAATTTCCATGAGGATAGACTGAATGGTTTATGAGACTAAAGATGAAGGTATAGAAAAAGAGAAAAGGAGAGATACTGACCATTCCTCAATTTCTATCATTAATAAATACCTCTTTTCCTTTTATCTTTTCCAAGGAAATATGTTTAATTTCTCACCAAAGTATACTGAATTGATGAAACTTCACCCAACAGCACAACACTTAGAATAAAACAAACGAATGGCACTGTATTGAAAGGCATAGAGGTTCAATATTTACTTTTAAAAAAAAGTGTCTAACAACTGATAATCTACATTTGCTTGACAAGATTTGCTTATAATGGTTATAGGAAAGCCTATCCAGGTTTAAGTGATAACTGGTTTTAGTTGTGTCCCTGGGTTCAGTATTCTTCTGCAGATTAAGGAGAAAATTTATAGATGAATTTTTAAAATGTGACATATATTCTTTTTTTAAAAAAAGATTTTATTTATTTATTTGACAGAGATCACAAGTAGGCAGATAGAGAGAGAGGAGGAAGCAGGCTCCCCCTGAGCAGAGAACCAGATGTGGGTCTCGATCCCAGGACCCTGAGATCATGACCTGAGCAGAAGGCAGAGGCTTTAACCCACTGAGCCACCCAGGTGCCCCAATGACATATATTCTTACCCTAATAGAAAGTGTCAATTATAATCTGTGTAAATAACTTGAAATGACTTTTAAAAATGTAATAATTCAGTGTTTTTTTTTTCCACAAATATTCTGCTTAGGTTCAAAGTAATAAAAAAAAATGATGATCAAGTAAATTGGATAACTCAAATAGTGGCCATGTGAAACTACCTGAAGTGTTCTGCATTTTTAATGAATTATTTTTCAAATTTTGAAATTTATTCTCTAACGTGAAATGAAAACAAAACAAAAAAAACCTTTACAGTGATCTAGACCAAGACATATATAAATTTGTTCCAGCAAGAAGTCTGGTTTTTAAACACAAGACCTCCCAATCTACTGTGTACAGTTGTCTATGAAATATAAACCTATCTAATGGAGCAAAAAAAATCTATGTTTATTAACTTACGAAATAGTTCTGGTTGTTGAATTCTAATTTGTAAGTCAGTTTATCATTTCCCAAAAAAGCAAAGTACCAATAAATGCCCCAAGTCATAAAGATATAAATGTATGCAGAATCGTTCTTAATTATCAAATTTGATCTTTACTGAACAACCGCCATATGCCAATCAGGTATTTCTGATAAGAATTTCAGGAAGCATTTTTTATGTCCATTTTACAGCTAGGGAAACTAAGGATCAGAGAAGGTCACTAACTTGCTCAGAGCACAAAAATAAAATACCTGGGAACTGAATTCAGTCTATTTTAAGCCAAAGCATGCTTTTTCCAAGTAACAAGTTAATACCTTGTAATGCGAAAGTGTTATTCACCTACTAGCTACATCAATAAACAAAATTAGTTTCACAAACCATTTAAAATTATTTGAAGACCACCAGTACACACACTTGATAGCTTCTGAATAAAATATACTAACAGCTATGTCATTTGGAAGGCAACCCATACCCAGTGAGCACTCGAATCACTGGTTTTACCTACGGAAAAACAGACTGCACTAACAATCCTTTTAACACTCATTATTTTACCCTCCCCCTCAGGACAGGAGGAGATGTTACCTAAAACTCTTCTGCATTGTTGTAATGGGCATGGGATGAATAATACCCATCCCTACCCTATAACGAAGTAAAGACACTATGCCTCCCCTCTCCCACCAAAAAACACAAGCCCTATTAATATCTAATACAGAATTCAAAAGCCCGACACAACGTTATTATGAGGGGACAAGGGGCAAGAAACTGACCAACTGTAAGGGAGAAAGGGGTTTAGAAAAAAAAAAAAAGAAGAGCTCCTTCAAAGTCTATCCAAAGCCTGAACTGAAGAGTGTCTGGGGTGGGGAGAAGGAACATGCTCCACTCCGGGAGGCTCCAGCAAGGGCGCCTCCATATGCGGAACTCTCGCCCAATCCCCGTCCAGGCTGAAATCCCGTGACCGCCAGAGAGCCTGTTTGGAGAAAAGTAGACAGGGAGCCCGCAAGCTGGGTTAGCAGAGGACGCTGGAACCTGGCTGCTCGGGGAGAAAATGTCTCCTTGGCAGCTGCTGCCACTGTCCTGTGGTCTGACTTCCTAGGGCTGGCTGGAGGGCGAGGTGTGCCTCTGGCTTCTCCCCACCCCCTTTCCCCATCCCTTTCTCTCTGCGGCTCCTACACTCGCAGAGCTGTCGCGACCAAAGCTACACCACCTAGCTAAAAAGAAAGAAAAAAGAAAATCCCGTGTTCGAGCGGGTCGGCCAAGGTTCGCCCTCAGCTTCGGCCGGTGACAGCAGCCCCGGCATCCGCCGCCCTTCGCTCTCCGGGGGCTGGCGGTGTGGCAACTGACATTTGCATGGTTCTTCCACAGGCAGCCTGCACACCCTCTCCTCCAGCCTCGGCCCAACAGCCGCTCCTTCCCCAGCCTCAGACCCTCGAATCCGCCAAGGGCCGCCTCCCTCTGCTCTCCCCCACCTCGCCCCAGGCTCATGGGGACAGAAAGGCGATGCCACCAGCGGGCAAGTGGCCTCTGAAGGCACCATGTTAACCTTGCAATGCACACATCTGCCCACACGCCCTGTGTCACAGCCCTACCAAGCCTGACAGCCTCCCCGCCAGATGCCTGCCCATCCCAGCCCCGCATCCCCGCCCAACCGCACACCCTGACCCCTACCTCGGCAGCCCCTCTACCTCTTCCACCCTAAACCATTCCCAGAAAAGGGGAGGCAGGATTTTGCTTAAGCAAATATATCTACCTGGATCAAATTCAGGGATCCGAGCTTGGTATTCAGCTCCGACTCTCATCCCAACATCTGCAAAGCAATGCCAAAAAGAAAAAAGAGAGAGAGAGAGAGGAAAGGGGGGGGGAGAAAAAAGAAGAAAAAAAGAAAAAGGAAGAGACACTTAATAAAATATAAAATTTGCTGGAGGAAAGAAGCGGCGGGTGGATGGGAAGATATTAACTCCGGGCACTCCGGGAGATGGCAGGGGGGGGGGGCGGGGAGGGGGGGGGGGGGGACAGGGCGGAGGATTGGTCGAGGGGCGGAGGGACGGGGGTCGCGAGGGGTGCTGCTGCACTGCACCGGGAGTTCGAGGCTACCGCAGCGCCCGGGCTCCGAGGGGAGGGAGGGCGGGAGCGCGGCGAGGGGAGGGGGCTGGGGGAGGGGAGGAGGGAGGGGGGCAGGCGGGCTGGCGGGGAGGAGTTCGAGGCTACCACCGTGCTCGTCGTCGCTACTGCAGCCGCTCTCGGGCTCGGAGTAGTGCAGCCCGCCGTTGGTGGACGAGGCGCCGCCGCCGCCGCCCGCCGGGCTTTTGGCGCTGCCGTTGGCCGATCGGTTCTTCCCCAGTAACTCGGGCCCTTTCTCCATCATGCCGGGCATGGTAGAAGAGGGGAGGGGAAAAGGTGAGGGGAAGCGGTAGGCGTCAGGGTGAAGGGGGAGACGGCTTACGAGTGCGGGCGGGAGGGAGAGAAGGAGGAGGAGGAGACGGCGGTGGCGGAGGAGGAGGAGGAGGGTGTTAATATGGAGCCGCCATAACCGCCCCGGTCCGGCAGTAGCGCAGTCGCCTCACAACAACCCGCCCCGGCCCCGCCTCTCTCCCCTCCTCCCTCCGCTCGCCCCGCGCAGTCCCGGGCGCCCCTGTCGGCCGCGCCGCGCTCTACTCCGCCGCCGGTATCACTCCGCCCCGCAGGGAGGTTCCGGCCGCCGGGGCAAGGAGGGGGAGGCGGAGGGGAAGGGGGGGTAGGGGCGGGGAAGCCCGGCTAGCCGGCAGCCCCGGCAACCCCTACCGAGCTAATAAAATCGCCGCAGAGACGCGGCCGCCTCTCCGGCTTCCTTCATAGGGGGCGCTCTAGCGCGCGGGCGGAGGTGGACAAGAGGGCGTGGGACTCTTTGCCCTCTCTGGGCGGAAGGAACGCGCCCAGCCTGAGAAAGGGCTGGCGCGATCCGAGGCGCCCGAGTCGGGAGAACGGCCTCCCTCTCTCCGCGGGTGTTGCGGGTCTGGACTGCCGGGAGGGTCTCGGCGGGAGCGCGGCCCCTTTGAGATCCTGCGGAGGTTTGCTGCTCGTTTTTGCGGCTCCTCCAACCGCGACGAGCTGGTGTTGCGCCCTTTCCCGCCGGGGAGTCGGACTGTGTGGCGGGCCGCCCTTCGAGTTCCAACCCCAGAGTAGCAGACGCGGTCTTGTTTATCTGGACGCTGCAGTTCTGTTGTCTGAATCCCAGATCTGGGGCCTGACTCCCGAGAGAGATTGAGGGTGCCGAGATGAGTTTCCAGTGCTAGCATTGCAGCTGTATTTTGCTAAAAGGTGTCTTGTTAAAAACCTTTCTTCAGTTTTCTCTTCTCACCTTTGCTTTATTTTTATCCATTTTTCGCCTCTACTGTTTTATTAGTTAGAAAGTGGGTGTTGTCAGTGGTGAAATAAAATTACGACCGGGGCCTTGTGGACTGGTGCTTACTCAGTCCTCGCTGACTTGTGGTCAGGGCTTGGAGCAGAGCTGTTAGGGAAGGCGGAGTCGCCTAGTGGAGGTGAAGCAAGAGCTGCATTCTGGCAGAGTTTCCAGCCTGGCAGGCTCCGTGCTCTGTAATGCTTTTCTGAATTGCGTTAGGCAGAAGGAATAGGGAACTGCATATTTCCTTCACCCGATTAGAGGATATCTGCTCTGTTCTGGCACTGGGAGCTATTTATGATTTTCTATTTCTTTCTTCGTTCATTCATTCATTCTTTATTTATTTATTGTTTTTGCTCAGCACTAAGAATTGAGGACTTCCCGTGAACATCTATTATGCAAATGAATGAAGAGCAGTATTTGTGGTCCAGAGGTAAGGTATTCTCCAAACACTTAAAGGCTGTCCTGAATAACTCTGTTACAAGTCAGTGCGGAGTGGATCAAAGCAGAAATAAGCATCTCTGGCCAGAGCAAGACTTCACCTAAAGCAGGAATGTCTCAATCAGGCATTGAGCCAGGGGGAAAAAAAAAAAAAAAGCCTGGGAAGTAAATATTTGGCAGGATCCCTGTCTAAAGGGGAAAGTCTCCTGAGCAGGTTCAAAACACCTATCTTGTTCTGATAGTGGAAATAGTTTGATCTAGCGAAGCTTGATATGATTCCCTTAGATCATACAATTAAACCTTTCATTCTTCTCTTTCTCTCAACAAATACAGTTCTGGATATTATTTTAATTCCTGTATAGTTTTTCTACACTGAGAGAATATCCTGGGCAAATGAAATGAGTAGCCATTTCATTTTTATTGTAAATGAATACATTGGTATTTTCATTTTTATACACAAACTTCCAAAGAACATGATTCAGCATCTCTGGTCCTGTAATGCAAAGGCCAGACCATGAACTAAGTGAATTCATGAAAGGTAAATGTGGCTCTGATGCCCTTTGGCCAGCATGCTTTCTAACTCCTCAACTTTGCAACACTTTCAGCCTCTTTTCTATTGAAAGGAATTTCTGCTTATAGATCAAGGATTAAAACATTTTAATTTGGGGATTTTTGTACTTATTTCTAATGATTAGTAAAACCCTTAAAGAAGATTCCACACTTTTCTCGAGTACAACAAAGGGGACAGAACAAGGAAGAACGCATTCCACTCTTGGGAGAAGAACCTCAGGGATGGGGGCTTTTCTTTCTGTTTTGCCCCAAAGAAAAGGAGAACACCTGAAGCTGACCTGCTTCTGAAAAAGAATAAGGCCTTAAAATGATTTCCCAACAGTTAATAAGAACAGTATAAAATTAGGAAAAGCCTAAGAAGAAAATCCTGGGGATGTCAATAAGGGGTTAGAGGAAATGAATCTGGTCAAGGAAGAAGAAAGCTTTAAGAAAGAGTTAATAATGTCCAATGATGAAGAATCATGAGAAGGGTTTAAGAAAAGGTCTCTGGATTTGTTAACAAACAATATTTTGTTTGTTTGACTGCTTTTTTACTGTATTAAAAAATTTTTTTACTGTTTTCATTGCAGTTTAAATTTGGAATAGATATATCTCATAGTTCTAATATCAAAAGATACCAGAGGAAAAGCTTCACTATTGTACTGGATATCCCAGCAAAAAAAAGGCAAGGAAAAAAATGTATAAGGATTGTTTTGTTTTGATTTGTTTTGTTTTTAATTTATTTGAGAGAGCAAGAGAAAGAGCATGAGTTTGGGGGAGGGGCAGAGGAAGAGAGAGAAGCAGACTCCTCACTGAGCAGGGAACCTGACTTCAGTCTTGATTCCAGGACCCCGAGATCATGAGCTAAAGATAGACACTTACCTGGCTGAGCCACCCAGGTGCCCCCCACAATGTATAAGGATTGGAAAGAAATACATTAATTTGTTAACTGGAGAAAGATGATAGGCTGTATATATAATTATAATCTATAAACTTTTAGTATTAATACTGAATTTAGCAAGTTGCTGGATACAGTCAGTATATAAAGATCGATTATGTTTTAAAATACTAGCACTAAACAATTAGAAAATGAATTTTTGAAACTGATAACATATGAATGAATACATCAAAAATATCAAATATCTAGTGTATTAGCTTTCTGTGATAGCTGTAACAAATTACCACAAACTCAAGTGGTTTAAAACAAACTGTCATACTTCTGGACACCAGGAGTCTGAAATCAAGGTGTCAGCAGGGCTACACTCGCTACAGAGGCTTTAGGGAGAATCTGTTCCCTGCCTTTTCCAGTTTCTGGTGTCTGGCTAGCATTTCTTGGTTTGAAGCTGCATCACCCGATCTCTGTCTCCATCTTCACATTGCCTTCTCTTCTGTGTGTGTCATGAATTTTCCCCTTCCTCTATTATATAAAGACACTGATAGCGTTATGATCCATCTGGATAATCTAGGATTATCTCCTTGTCTCAAGAGCCTTAACTTAATCACATCTCCAGAAACCCTTCTTCCAAATAGGGTGACATTTATAGGTTCCAGGGATTAGGACCTGATATTTTGGGGACATCATCTAACACATGGCACCTAGGAATAAATCTTAATGAAAGGTGTATTAGGACACTATACTGAAAATTATATTTTTCAAAGAAATCAGAGAAGATCCAAATAACTGGTCAGATGCAGTATGCTCATGGATTGGAAAATTAGATATTGTAAAAATGTCAGTCTCCCAGTTGATCAGTAGATTTAGTCTAGTCCCTATTAGCATCCCAGCAGATTGTGTGTGTGTCATTTGACAAGCTAAAATTTAAATGGAAATTCAGAAGAACAAGAACAAAGTTGGAGAATTTATAGTACCAGGTGTTAGAAAGTAGACCAGTGGAACTAAATAGAACTCTTGTGAACGTTTTATTATGCAAAGGTGACACTATACTAATGTGGAGAAAACGATGCTTTGATAAACGTTGCTGGGTCAATTGAATGTCTATGTGGAAAACAAAAAACCTTGATGCCTACTCATACTAAATATAAAAGGAAAAAAAAAACAAACCTCTAAATAGATTATGGACCTAAAAGTTAAAGGTAAAACAATAGTGCTTTTAGAAAATATCATGGTTTATTGTCTTATAACATTGAATAATCAAATTATTTCTTTTTTTTTTTAAAGATTTTATTTATTTATTTGACAGAGATCACAAGTAGGCAGAGAGGCAGGCAGAGAGAGAGAGAGAGAAGCAGGCTCCCTGCTGAGCAGAGAGCCCGATGCAGGACTCAATCCCAGGACCCTGAGATCATGACCTGAGCCGAAGGCAGTGACTCAACCCACTGAGCCACCCAGGCGCCCCAATCAAATTATTTCTTAAATAGGACATAAAAAACATGAGGAAAATATTGAGCATTCCAGGTACAGAAAATAGTACAGAGGCCACTTGGCTAGCTCAGTCAGTAGAGCATGCAACTCTTGATTTCAGGGTTGTGAGTTCATGCCCACCATGTCGGGTGTGGAGATAGCTTAAGAATAGAGAGATCAGCGGGGAACCAGCTTCCCCCTCTCTCTCTGCCTGCCTCTCTGCCTACTTGTGATCTCTGTCAAATAAATAAATCTTTTTTTTTTTAAATAGAGGAAGAAAAGAAAGAAAGAGAACAGAAAGAAAACAGCATGGAATATGCAAAGAATCTTGAATTGTGTTATGTCAAGGAGCTACAAATAATTTTGTATTCCTGGAGCATGAAGTGAATTCAGAATGGGCCTAGAGAGTTAGGCAAGGGTTGAACCACATAAAGGCCTTGATAGTGTTCAAAGAGTTAAGCAATTTTTAGATAATAGAAGAGGAGCAGAGGGCTCTAAGCAAGAGAGTGATTTAGTTCAGTTGGTATTTTAGGTAAAAATTGAATGTGGAAATAAATGAGAAGGCCATTGAATTAGTTAAGAAATTATGAGGTTTAGGGGCACCTGGGTGGCTCAGTGGGTTAAGCCTCTGCCTTCGGCTCGGGTCATGATCTCGGGGTCCTGGAATCAAGCCCCACGTCGGGCTCTCTGCACGGCAGGGAGCCTGCTTCCCCCCCTCTCTCTGCCTGCCTCTCTGACTACTCGTGATCTCTCTCTGTCGAATAAATAAAAATCTTTAAAAAAAAGAAATTTTGAGGTTTAAGTTATGGCATTGGTAACAAGAATAGAATTAGGGATAGATGCAAATAATTAGGAGGTAAAAGCAAAATTGGGGGATTGGTTTATATGGAAAGGAAGAAGGAATGGAAGAGTCTAAGCTGACACCAGTATTTTAGCTTGAATGGCTGAGTGGATTGTGTCAACAACAGAGTTGGTGAATACTGAAGACTTAGCAATTTGAAGGACAAGGAGAATGAAATAATTTCCAGATACGTTGGGTTCTCAATAGAGAGATACCAGCATGCAGTTGGATATATAATTAAGATCAAGAGTGCAGAGAGGGATTTGTTACCAATTGATCGTAGCTAACCAAGGTCATGAGACCAAAGTAAATCACACAAGAAGAGGATGTAAGATGAGAAGTATAATGAGCTGAGGATAAAAAGCAAATGGACATCAACATCGAAAGGCCATACAGAGGAAAAGAAATGCATAAAAGAGACTGAGCATAAATGGAGAAAGTAGAGAACTAAGGAGAGTGTAACTTCCTGAAACCAAAGGTTTAGAGAGATCTAAAGAGAAAGGATCACCAGGACAGCAGAGAAGTCAGTAATTAAAGCTGAGGCTCCCGGGTTCCTGAGTGGCTCAGTTAAGCAACTGCCTGCAGCTCAGGTCATGATGCCAAGGTCCCAGGATTGAGTCCTGCATTGGGCTCCCTGCAGCAGGGAGCCTGCTTTTCCCTCTGCCTCTCCTTCTCTCTTTCTCATAAATAAGAATGAATAAAATCTTTTAAAAACATAAAGTAAGGTTCCAATATGTACAGTGCTTCGGCACATAAGAAAACATGAATGATCTTGGAAAGACCACTTTTACTGGGTCATGGGCCAAAGAACCAAACTGCAGTGGATTGAGAAGTGAAGAAGTCGTTTAAGGAAATGGGAACAACTAATAGGAACCTATTCCAGGAAACTACTCATACGGATAAGAAAAGGAAAAAATGGAACTAAGTGTCTTAGAGCAATGTAGCTCTAAAGTTATAGGCAAGAGTATGTATATATGTAATATTTCAAAAGTTGAAGTACCAAGTGCAGTTATTTCTACCCTATTATCAGTTGGATCTATACAGCTAGAACTTTATGTTAAGGAGAAGAGAGAACAAAGGTTATCTAGGTCTGTGTACACAGTAGATGTTTAATAAATGTTTACTGAACTGAACAAAACTAACCTCCAGACCATAACAGTATGTGTATATCTCCTTTCTAACGTATACACATAAATAACTAGAGCTGCCTGAACATGCTGAGAGTATTTCTGAAAGAGTA